GTGTGCGCCTGTAATCCCAACTCTTGGGAGGCTGTAAACAGGTGGATCACTCTGAGTCTGATCTAATAGTGAGACCCTGAACACCTTGTAGAGCCTTCCCTAAAAAAATATAAAAAAGAAAAAAAAGTATAGGTTAAAGAAGAGATGTTTTTGAGGCTGAGAGAAAACCACTCCAACTCTTTCTTCTTTCTGCCTGACAGAATAGCAGGCCACGGCAGGTCACCAGACTAAAATTTCTCTTCCCCAAGGCAAGTCCTAGAAAGTCTAATCTTTTCCTACCTTTTTGTTTTGGAGTTGGCCATAAAGAAATTCTCTGGTGTATCTGGTCCAGGTAGTAAATCTTAAAAGTTCATTTCAGGTGGGGTCCTGCTCCATACTGTTCAGAATGGCCAAGACACCATTGAATCATATCTATGCAATGAAATCTTCATTAAAACCCACATGGTGGGCTGGGAATGTAGTAGAAAACTTGCCTATCATGTGCAAAGCCCTGGGTTGGATCCCTACTACCCACACATTCTCACAAACAGTGAAGTGCCATTTTCTGGGTGGGGTGGCTTGTGCCTGTCATCAAGGCTACTCTAGAGACTGAGGCAGAAGGATCACAATTTTGAAGTCAGCATAGACAACATAGCAAGACCTTTAAAGGGGCTGTGGATATAGTTCAGTGGTTGAGTGTGTGCCTCACATGCTCAAGACCCTGGATTTGATCCCCAGTACCACACACACACACACACACACACACACACACACACACACCATCACCAAATCCAAATGGACAGGATCTGAGATCTCTGGCTTGCTTGAATATGTGGCAGTTCCTGAAAGACAGCACACAGAAGAAGCTCCCCTCCCCTCCTACATTCCTTGCCCCTTCCTCCATGTCTCATTTGAAACCTTCACAATATCCTTAAAGCTAAACTGGTGATTGTGTTTCCATGAGTTCTTCGAACTACTGGAGCAAATTAATTGAACCCAAGGAGGAGATTATTGAGCTTCAGTTTATAACAGTCAGTCAGAAGAAGCATCTGGGACTTGCAATTAGCTTTTGAAGCAGGGTAGTCTTGTGGACTGAGCCTTCAACCTGTGGGTCTTAGAACTATCTTCAGATAGTGTCAGAATTGAGTTAGAAGACACCCAGCTGATACCTATTTCAGGACTGATTGCTTACTCTGTGTCTAGGAGAAAATGCCCACATCTCTGAAGTCAGAAGTGATCTATATTGTTGTGAGTAGAATAGGAGAAGCTGAGTCTGAATTTGTTTTTTTCATCTATATAATCAAAGTGAATATCTGCAGAACTGACGTCTTGGTGAGTATAACATCATATTTAAGGTGATATCTGATCTGCTCCTCAAAGTTATTTTGCTCCTCCCACTCACCCCAAATTTCACAACCAGTGAGCTGCAACAGTGCTGGTACCCTAGGGTTAAGATCATGAGATGAAGCCAGATGTGGTGATATAAGCCTATAATCCCAGCAATTCTGGGAGGTTTCAGCCTCCCAAAGTTGAACTTGGGCTACAGGTTCAAGCCCACTCTGGGCGACTTAGCGATTTAGCAAGATCCTGTCCCAAAAGAAAAAAATAAATATAGCTCAGTGCAAATGCCCAGAGTTCAATTCCTACTAGAAAAAAGGAAATCATGAGATAAGATATGAAAATTCTCTATGTGACCCCTGTTACTTTTTCCATTCTGCTTGTACCAGATGTGGTTTCCCTGCTTGGGCAAATTAACATGTTCTCTAGACCTTTGTATGCAGCTATTGATTTAGAAAATGCCTTCTCCGTACCTATCCATTAGGCCCATCAGCAACAATTTGCTTTCAGCTGGGAAGGCCGACAGTATCACTTCACTGTTTTACCTCAGGGTTATATTACCTCTCCAGCCCCATGTCATAGCTTAGTTCACAGAGAACCCAGTTGTCCTTTTCTCCCACATATCACACTAATTGTTTCCATTAATGATGCACTGGTTGGATCCAGGGAGTCAGAGGTAGAAACCATTCTGGACTCATTAGTAAAGCATTTGTGATCCAGAGGATGGGGCAAAAATCCAATTAAAATTCAAGGTCCTTCTACATTGTGAAATTTATAGAGGTCCAATTGTGTAGAGTATGCAGAGATATCCCTTCTAAGATAAAAGAAAAATTGTTGTATCTGGCTCCCCCTACAACCAAAAAACCTAAGGCACAATGCCTAGTGGGCCTATTTGGATTTTGGAGGCAACACATTCCTCACTTAGGTGTTTTACTCCAACCTATATACTGAGTGACTCAGAAAGCTGCTAGTTTTGAATGGGGCCCCAAACAAGAGTAGACTCTGCAACGGATCTAGGCTGCCATGCAGGCTGCCCTGCCACTGGGCCCATATGATCCAGTGGATCTAATGGTACTTAAAGAGGCAGTGGCAGGTGAGGATATTGTTTAGAGCCGCTGGAAGAATCACTCCCTGCAGGGGAATTTCATCAGAAGCCTTTACAATTTTGGAGCAAGGCTCTGTCATTACCTGCAGACAATTATTTTCCCTTTGCAAAATAGCTCCTGGCCTGCTGCTGCAGTGGCCTTATTGGAAACTGAACAGTTAATCGTGGGACACCAGGTTATCATGCAATGTGAGTTGCCTATCATGAGCTGGGTATCATTTGTTCCAGCAAATCATAAAGTTGGATGTGGAAATAGTATGTACATGATTGAGCCAGAGCAGGTACAGAAGGTACAAGTAAGATACATGAAGAAGTAGCCCAAATCCCCATCATTCCTACTCCTGCTATACTGCCTTCTGTCTCTTACCTTCTGTTCCCAGCATGCACCTATGGCCTCACAGTGTATACTGTATAATCAGCTGTCAGACAAATTTACAGATAGTTCTCCTGTTAGGCAGTCACTACCTGCAAGTGGATAGCATTACAGGCCCTCTCCAGGCTTTCCCTAATGGACACTGGTAAAAGGAAATCTTTATAGTGGGCAGAACTTCAGACAGTGTACCTAGTAGTATATTTTTCCTGGAAGAATAAATGGCCAGATATGTGACTAAATACTGATTCATGGTCTATAGCCAATGGTCTGGCCAGATGATTATGGGCTTGGAAGGAACATGACTGGAAAAATTGGTGACAATGATATTTGGAGAAGAGAAATGTGGATAAATCCCTAACTATAGATGAGGGATGCAAAGGTATTTGTAGCCCATATAAATTTTCACCAAAAAGTGACCTCAGTGGAAGAGGACTTTATTTTATTTTGTTTTATTTGTTGGTACCAGGAATAAAACTCCGGATCTTGGGCTTGCCAGGCAGGTGCTTGTGCCACTGAGCTATGTCTTTGGTCCCCAAGAGGACTTAAATAATCAAGTGTCTAGTGTGATCTATTCTGTAGATAGCAATCAACCTCTTTCTTCAGCCATTCCTGTCATTGCCCAATGGGCTCATGAACAAAGTGGCCATGGCAGCAGAGATGGAAGTTGTACCCGAGATGAGCAACATGAACTTCTGTTCCCCAGAGTTATTTGGCTACAGCTACTATTGAATATTCACTATGCTAGCAGAAAAAGACCAATATGGGACCATTTCCTGGGGTGATTAGCCTGTGATCTGGTACCAGGACGATTATATTGGACTGCTTCCATCAAGGAAAAGGCAGCGCTTTGTCCTTACAGGCATAGGTACTCATTCTGGGTATGGATTTGCCTCCTTGCATGTAATACTTCTGCCAAAACTAGCAAGTGGACTTACACAATGCCTTATCCACCATCAGAGTATTCCACACGGCATTGCTTCTGACTAAAGAACATATTTTATAGCCAGAGGAATGAGGCAATGGGCCTCATACTCATGAAATTCAATTGCCTTACTGTCTTCCTTACTATCCAGAAGCATTTGCATTTATAGAACGGTGAGATGGCTTTTTGAACATGCAGTTACAGCATAAGCTAGATAGCTGTAGCTTACAGAGCTTGGGCAAGGGTCTTCAAAAGGACATATACGCTTTGAATCAGCAACTACTATATGGTATTGTGTCTCGCATAGCCAAGATTCACAGGTTCAAGAATCATGAGGTGGAAGTAGGAAAGGTACCACTCACTATTACCCCTAGTGAGTTCCCACCACCTTATGATTTGCTGTTCCCACCACCTTATGGTCCGCTGGCCTACAAGTCTTAGTTCCAGAGGAAGTAAGGCTGTGCCAGGAAGCACAACAATGCTTCAACTGAACTGGAAGCTAAGACTTCCCCTTGGTCATTTGGGCTGCTTGGCATGATGGTTCATGCCTATAACCCCAGTGCAGGAGGGAAGGAGGCTGGGGCAGGAGGATCATTCGAAGTTTGAAGCCAACCTGGTCTACACAGTGACTTCAAAGCCAGCCTGAGCCCCAAAGAAAAACTTGCCTTCTATTCTGGGAAGGGAATTAGTACTTTTCTCTTTGTAGGTAGGATAGCTGTACAATATTAGGTCTAATTATGAATTTGTCTGTGTAACTGGACACTAAGTATGGTATATGGAAATGTATCTGGTTGTCAGAATGACAAGGGTTAGATTGTAATAGTTAACAGTTGTGTCAACTTGAGTAAGAAATGTGCAATCGATTGGTTTAGCATAGTTCTGAGTGTGACTGAGGGGATTTATTGAAGATGAGTGTGAGTGGCATCAGCCAATAGGCTTGCAGCCTGAATGGAATAAAAAGGGAAAAGAAGGAATTCTTGCTTCTGTTTCTTGCAAGGAGCTCCAGTCTGCACCTTCACCTTGGATGTCCTCCTGGCTTCCAGCACAAATTTTTCCATTGCAAACCCTTCTGGTTCCTGATACAGATTCACATGGACCTTTGACTTTCAGCTGGATTCTTTGGATCTCCAGCGCACAGACAGTCCTTTTACCACTCTTCCACACCTGACCCTGCAGACAGCTATTATAAGCCTATCTCTGTCTCTGTCTGTCTGTCTATTTGTCTTATATGAAGTCTGTTTTTCTTGAGTACTGACTGATATACTGCTGGCATAGTTTTTTAAAAAAATATGGAATGCCTCACCAATTTGCCTGTCATCTTTGCAAAAAAGGTCATGCTAATCTTCTCTGAATCATTCTAAGTTTACTAAATGTGCTGCCAAAGAGAGCACTGGATTACTTCTAAAGGCCATCTAGATGTAGAAATAGTATAAACCATACTTGTATCGAAATTCTGACAACCTGAACTCTTAGGAAATAATACAAGGGAAAAGTTTCAATGATTTAAAAATAGAATCAAGCCAGAAGTTACATGACTTCTGAGGTCATGTAACCCAACATGTCACCCAGTGTCTGAATCCCTTCTGTAATATATTCTCATGTCTGGACCTACCTGGGCCATTTGACTAAGGCTTCCCCCATGTCCAACAGGTGTCCCCAAGGGAAAACAAGTCCCATCACCCTCTTTCCCAGTCTTAATTCTAGCTCCTCCCAGGCTCACTCCATGCCTGAATGCCAGCTATCTTTAGATTGCTCCATCTTGTGATCTTGTTACTCATTGATCCCTATTTATGAGTTTTATTTGTCCTTTGGGTCTGATGTTCCACTAAGATAAGAGTAGGGTACAGTGAACTATAATTAAGTTGAGGAACCAAGGTCAGAGCTACATAAAGAGAAATCCTCTACTCTTCCTAATTTTATCTTCCATTTACAGTTTCCATCTGGAGATACCTAGCTGTTGTCATTGATCTATTTGAGATCATCTTCTCTGTGTGTGTGTGTGTGTGTGTGTGTGTGTGTGTGTGTGTGTGTTACTGGGTACTGAACTCAGAGCCTTTGCCCTGAGCTACATCCCCAGACATTTTTATCTTTTATTTTGAGAGAGAGTCTCAGTAAGTAGCCCAGGTGGGACTTGAATTTATAATCCTCTAGCCTCAACTTCCCAGAGGGCTGGGATGACAGGCTTCTACCACCATGCCTGGAAGAAGATGAAATGGCTTGTCTCCTAACAATGTTGCAGTCACTATTTCCTAGTGTTTCTATCTTTCCTATGTCTCCAGTCAGCTCTTCTGCACTGACTAGGATTCAGTTCAGATTACCATTCTTTCACTTCCTAGGAGGCAGTGGTGGCACAGTGGTACCCAAAATTTAGTTACCTTTACCAAAGACATAGGAAGAGCTTAGAGATCTGAATTTTAATAAGCATTTCAAGAGATTCTTCTGTTTAACTTGGAGAGATGTTGATGGCAATTTTGGTTTTAGATATACTGGAATTTAAATCCTACTTCTGCACCTTATTAGTTGTATGACTTTGTACAAATTAGCAAATTAGCCCGTTTCCTTATTTATTTTATTTTTTAGGAAGGGTCTGCAGGGTCTACAGGGTCTCACTGTGTAGATTGGACTCGTAGTGATTCACCTGTTTTTAGCCTCCCAAGAGCTGAGATTACAGGCTTGTGCCACCACCACAGTCTCAGTCACTGTCTCAGCGTGCCCTGGGGACGGGGCCAGCACAGCACACCAGAATCAAACCCCAGCTGCTGAGCTCTGCTTAAGCAGGTGCTTAAATCTGATGAGCTATTTGGCTGGCCTTCCTGTTTTTAATAAACAGGTGATAAAATCCATTTTTGAATGTCAGAACCATTAAATAAAGTGAGGTACTAGGCAGTTTGCATTCATTTAATACAAACCAACATAAACTTTTAGTATAATTGCTTTGTCTTCAGAATAGGGGAATTATTGGAAAATAGTAATAATTTGTTGCATGTCAGTAGGCTAAGATTTCTAATTGATGCCTATGAGTCTTGTGATCATGCTGTGAGTTTCCTTTGTACAAATTTTGTGCTTCTGATCCGTAATTAATCACCATTTCCATGCATAGCCCTGGACTTTGTATTTAGTAGAGAATCAACATTTAATGGGTTGGCCAAATAGCTCAGCAAAGAATTAAAGTGCCTGCAAGCAGACACAGGGACCAGGGGTTCATGCCCCTGCGGCGTGCTGAGACAGCAGTTGAGACTGGGAGTAGTGGCACATGCCTGTAATCCCAGCTCTTGTGAGGCTGTAAACAGGTGGATCACCACAAGTCCGATCTAGTAGTAAGACCCTGAACACCCTGTAGGCTCTTCCTTAAATTATAAAAGAAAGAAAGAAAGAAAGAAAGAAAGAAAGAAAGAAAGAAAGAAAGAAAGAAAGAATCATTTGGGGCACCCAAATAGCTCAGTGGATTAAAGCACCTGCAAAGCTGGCACAGGGACCTGGGATTCAATCCCCGGGCTTGCTGTGCCAGGGCGTGCTGAGACAGTAATTGAGACTGGGTGTGGTGCTGCCTGCCTGTAATTCCAGCTCTTAGGAGGCTATAAACAAGTGGATCACTAAGGAGTCTGATCTAGTAGTGAAATCCTGTAGATCCTGTAGACCCTTCCCTAAAAAATACAACAACAACAACATTTGATGAATATTTTTGAATGAGCGAATACTATCTGGCCAGGCCCTGTGTGCTATACTCTCACAGGAGCATTACATTTGTTCTCCCCTCCCCAAATGTTCTCCAGCATTCTTTCACCATTTGGCACTATTTCAGTTCTTTCTTGTTGTTTGTTTTTTTGTTTTTGCGGGACCGGGGATTGAACTCAGGCCCATGTGCTTGCCAGGCAAGTGCTTATTCTACTGAGCTATCTCCCCGGCCCTTCAGTTCTTTCTTGACCTGGCTTTTCCCATTTCCTCATTCTAGTGAAGAGTGTCATCCCATGTAGCCCTGATAATATTGTTTTACATTAGAACCTCAGAGTCACTTTATCTTACAGTGCATGCCCAGTACATATAGGTTTTTTCCTACTACCATGGAATGAACCTAGAGCCTTCACACTGAGCTACATCCCAGCCCTTTTTTATTTTTAAGTGGGTCTCTTGCTAAATTCCTGGGCTGGGCTTGAGTTTGCCCTCCTCATGCCTCAGCCTTCTAGAGTGCTAGAATTACAGGTGCGTACCACCATGTCTGGCATATACACTGTCACATTTTAAATGCAATTAATGTCAGTCAGGTGTGGTGGCACAGACCCAGAATCCCAACACTTGGGAGGCTGAGGCAGGAAGATTGCAGCAAGTTTGAGGCCAGCCTCGGCTATGCAATGAGTTCAGGGACAGCCTGAACTATACAGTGAGATTCTGTCTCAAAAATTAAAAAAGGCAATTAATAACAGGCAGTGAGATTGGAGGAAGGAAGGAAGGATTGAGGTGATGGGTGGGGGCCTAGCTTTGACAACCAAATGATATTTCTCTTGCACATCAGAGTTTATTTTATGTTATTTTTTAAGGTATTTGTTTGTTACAGGGTCTCACTATGCAACTTGGACTCATAGTGATTCTCCTGTTTTCAGCCTTCCCAGCACTGGGATTACAGGCATGTGCCACTATGCCTGGACTCTGTGGCTGACTCAGCCTGTCCTGCAGGTAGAGCTGGCACTGGGTTTTTTTTGTTGTTGTTGTTCTTGTTTTTTTTTTTTTTTTTTTTTTGGTGGAACCAGGGATTGAACTCAGGCACTTGTGCTTGCCAGGGAAGCACTTATTCCACTAAGCCATCTCCCTGGCCCTTAAATTACTTTTTAATTCAAGACTTTTCAAAGAGTATCAAAGGAATAATTCAGAAGAACTGAACTTACACTGTGGATAGGTTTCATCTGAAGTTCTCCATGAATGAAGCAATTCATGTAGCAACTATAAAGAGCTGATGATGATGTGTGTAACTATGGTTGTCCCTTGGTGTCTGCAGGACATTGATGAGGATCCTACCCACGGGTACTCAAGTGCTTTCTATAAACTGGCATATTATGTGCATGTAACCTAGCACATCTTCTTGTATACTTTAAATCATCTCTTAACTCATTAAAGCAACTAATACAGTGTGATATGTAAATAAGTGTTATGCTGTATTGTTTAGAGAATCATGACAAAGAATAAGTCTACATTTTCAGTACAGACACTTTTTTCTTCCTGAAATCTTTCCAATTCATGGTTGTTGGAATTTACCAATGCAGAATCTGGCTACAGAGGGCAATGGCACTATAACTGTGGGGACTGGGTGTTCAGATTAGAAGGCAAAGGTTAGGAGAGCATTAGAAGAGTGTGAAGTCAGGAGCAAAGGTTTTGGGGATGGCTCTATAGGTTATATGCTGGGTGCGACCCTAGGGAGGGCATTGGTGCCCTCTGCGCCTCTGTTTTCCCCCTGTAAAATGAACTTCCAAAGGTGGTGTTAATTAAATGAGCTAAATTATGTTAAGCACTCAGTGACAGCACTCATGGCACACCAACCTCCTGGTTTCCTCCACTCCTTTGTCATCTGAGTTGCTAATTCCTGTTGTTAATCAGGCATATGTGCTGGGGATGCATTTCTCTCCTAATAAAGATATATACGCCCAGGGCATAAGGAAATGGCTTGCCCCACCACCTCTAACCCCCAAATCTTGTGTTGTTACTTTCGGAAAATTTTACAGATCAATGAATCTTAATCTGACTTGTCCTTAGGTTCTCCTGTAATGCTTTAGCAAATCTTTCTCCTCACAGTCCTTTTGAATTGAAATCTTTATGGCTAAAACCACTGAAATGAAAACAACTGGAGTTATACACATAAAAAGATTAACTGTAGAGATGAGTGTCACCTGGGAAACAGGTGACAAGCAGCTCCAAGGGGCCTCTCTTTCACATGGGCTGGTGCTGAGAAAAAGCTCAATGTTTTTGTTCCTGCTTTGTGCTTCTTTCAAGAATGCTGCTGGGTGAGGTAGCGCATACCTGTAATCCCATTGCTCACAGGCTGAGGCAGGAGAACTGCCATAAATTCGAGGCCAGCCTGGGCTATCTAGTGAGACCCTGTCTAAAACAAAACAAAACAAAACAAAAACCAACAAGCAAAAACACAGACTGCAATGCAAGCCTGCTTTAAACCTCTCCCAGTGTCCCTGAAGGGTCTTGAAAGCCTCTGTCTTCTTCAGGTGAAATTGCTGTCATTAGGAAACAGTGCCATCCAGTCCTCCCTATAAAACATCTTTGGGGTATACACCTATGCCTGGTGCTGTGGGATAGTGGTGTAAGGATTGAGCCTTCAACATGTACTTTTTGCTTAAATGACTTAAGCCACCCTGAGAAGAAGATTGAAGTTTATGTACCCCAATCAAAA